CCCCCACAGACACATCCTTCCCAGAAGCATTAAATTAAAACCGATTCTGATGTTGCAGGATCATTGATCAAGTGGAGGCCGAGGCTCTCGGGGGAAATGGCTGTCGTTTGGTTAAATGCTTTGTTCTCTCATTGGCCGCTCGACGTCTGGTATCTGGTCTCTCCATGCCTTCCGGAGACCGGTGTCTATTCTTTCTCAGTTTCCCCTTCTACATCTCTTTAAAAAATAGTTTTATTGATGTCAGAGAGGAAGGGAGAGGGAGAGAGAGAGACGACATCCATGATGAGAAAGGATCATGGATCAGCTGCCTCCTGCACGCCCCCTACTGGGGGATGGAGCCCGCAACATGGGCTTGTGCCCTGACCGGGAATCGAACCGTGACCTCCTGGTTCATAGGTTGATGCTCAACCACTGAGCCACACCAGCTGGGCATATTGTTCCATCTATTTATGCATTCATTGGTTGGTTCTTTTTAAAAAATATATATATATATCTTTATTGATTTCAGAGAGGAAGGGAGATGGGGAGAGAGAGAGAAACATCCATGATGAGAAAGGATCATGGGTCGGCTGCCTCCTGCGCGCCCCCTACTGCGGATGGAGCCCGCCACATGGGCATGTGCCCTGATCGGGAATCGAACCGTGACCTCCTGGTTCATAGGATGACGCTCAACCATTGAGCCACACCGGTCAGGCTGGACATCTCTCTTTCCAGTGTCCTCACTCCTAACACATCCTTTCAATAGACCCTTACATGTCCTTCTAGACGTGTTTTGTTGTTGTTGTTGTTGTGTTGTTGTTATTGGCTCTCCCTTTGTGACACAGAGAGGGAGTCTGTCCGCTGCTATCGGTGCCGTAACAAGGCCTGGCTGCCTTTCTCAGGACGCACTGTTCCCTGCTCTGCCCAACCCTTTTGTTTTCCACCCGAGGATCTCGCGCCAGGCGAGCAGAAAACCCGAGCTTCGGTCCCAATGAGCCTCTTTCCGGCCGTGCGGCTTTGGACAAGGGACGTACCCTCTCCACTTCTGGGTTTTGTTTTTGTCTTTTTTTTTTTTTTTTGCAACATATGAAGGGGCTAGCGAGCCCTAACCACTGCCCCTCCGCCGACGAGTCTCCTGACCCAGGACTCTTGTACTTTGAAACTGCTCCGCAGTGTGAGCAAGTGTAAAAGTAGGGGTTCCTCGCGATGCTTTCTGGGGGAATTCAGTGGTTCTTTGTGCAAGTCACGCAGGCCTGACTGTCTTCTTTCCTGCTTCTGCTTCTCAGTTTTGCAAAGCAATCCAGGGTAAGGTATGGCAGCGGGATAGAAATTCTACAGAGGGAGGGACACCCTCAAAGGTCAGGAAGGCTCCTTTATTATATAGGATTATATTTGCTATATCCTATATAATAAAAGCCTAATATGCTAAGTGGTCCGGTCATCAGGTCGGCCATTCAACCAATCAATGCGTACTATGCTAATGATATGCTAAGGCCGCTCAACCGCTCGCTATGACGTGCACTGACCACCAGGGGGCAGATGCTCTGACTGGTAGGTTAGCTTGCTGCTGGGGTCCGGCTAATGGGGACTGAATGAGACGGGCTGGACATGCCCTAGAGCCCTCCCAGGGTCCCTCCCCGGCTGGCCAACCTCCCGCATCCATCCTTGACCCCGATCATGCACCAGTGGGGTCCCTTGGCCTGGCCTGCGCCCTCTCACAATCCGGGCTGAGGACCCCCCACACCCACACCCCTAGTGCACGAATTTCGTGCACCGGGCCTCTAGTATTATTATATAACTAAAATACAGCTTACCTTACATACCACATGAGAGTACTTCTATCTGTACCGATCTTACTAAAGCTTTGGTTGCCCTCGGGACTGTGATTTAAAAATTATGGAGTGGGTATAGGATTGAAAAGGTTATATAAAATATACAGCGGGAGAGAAAACTTGGAACTGCAGGAGTTCAGCTGATGCCTTTGTCCCTCCTCACTCACGTGTACTGTTTCAAAGGATTTCGTTGTCCCATTGGAATGAACAGAAGCCAGCCTATAACCAGCTTCAGGGTGTCTCCAAGGGCATTTTGGGGACTGGGGCGGGGGGAGAGTCTGTAATGAGCAGTTCCCATGGTTGGTAGAGAC